ATTATGTCGCTTGTTGTGTAGCTATCACGTATTATTTTGACCATCTCATATAGGGTCACGTGACTCTGGGCAGGTATTACAACAATAATTGCCTATCCAGTGTTCGGTGCGTAAATCAAGTAATAAAAAACACAAGTTTGCCAGTTTGCCAGAATTTATTTAAAGTGTACCGTTTATTTCCAGAAAGGCGGAGGGCTCCTACCGTTTTGCACGCAAAGGATTCAAGAGACCGTGCGTGACCTCGCAGAAATTCTGATAAACCAAAATGTCTAACCGTTCGTATCTTCCTCTATTTTTCCCTCAAATTTCTCGGGAATGACAGATCCTGTGTCAACAGAAGTTCTTGGGTAGCACCGTAAAATTTTGAGACTGTAAATGGATTGTCTTCATCCCGGGCTTTCAAAGGTCCAGACAAAGCAACGACGTATGGCTATTTACGGGGGTAGATGCTCACATGCAGTGCAACATGGGCATGATTGTACATGTCCATGTTTACGGATATAATATATAAATGTATGATATCTTAATCTTGCTGCACGTAATGTACCGCAAAGTGCTCAGAAATTCATCATATTTTTGTCAGCATGTTCTTTAAAGACGAGGTGTTATTTATATGTATGTGAAACATTTTCAATTATTAACAATCCAAGCTTTTGATGAAGAGGGGGACAAATGGTTGAGACCTTTATATTAAGCTTATATATTACATTATCAATATTAACATAGCTAATTCCATGGGAAAAATTGTGTAAAAAAGTGTTAAAAATCACGATATTAATTAATGCTGCCATGTTAATGAGGACATAACCAACAAACAGCAATTATGTGAAAAGGAATCAGATAGGAAAGATCCTATCTGTCTGTCTGTTTGATGTCTGTGTGTCACGTTTTCTTTGTGTAAAAGGCCTAAAGAGTGTGCGCTAGCACGAAATAGAATGGTTAATGGAGAGGCTTGAGTGTTGTATGCAGGTCCATAAATGATATATTTAATTATGCTCCAATATCACCGTTTCTTGAAGTCAAGTTTGTCACGTGATGTGTTTCGTTCAGACATTGAATAGTTTAATGCTACACTTGATCTCTATGGAAACACTCCAAAAAGTATTGCTATAACGCACAACATGACGTTGATGATGAAAAAGTGGCAAAATAGATTCACGAAGGCTTACCACGCCCAGTAGGAGTCCACATGCAAATTGAGGTAAAGTAAACATTATTATAATGACTCCACCCAGCGAATTATTTTTTCCCAACCGAAGTCCGACAATATCAAAAGAGGGCGCTCTCTCTGCGTTATGCATATTCATGATGTCCAGGGCTTTTGAGAATGAGTTATATAACAAGGGACAAATGGTGTTTAAGATAATCACCGACGAACGGCGGCTTATTCTTGGACTCGTTGGAAGTAGTCCTGACTTTTAATCAGGTGATCCGAGTTCGAACCCTTGTGAACGTTTTCACTTCTTGTAAAGGAAAAATAAGGACACAAGGGGAGTCCTTAGATTGTGTGTTCTGTGAGCACTGGCTGGGCAGGCGGGATTAATCCTGTTTTATTTCAAATTCAAATGTCCCATCATCCTCAGTGGAAGACAAGTGGGGAAAATTAGGCCGGTGGAGAGACTGATCATGGTGGAGATCGTTCTGGAAAATACAATAAGGGTAATCATAAATTGAGGGCAAACTATTCAACATCAAAATCGTCATGGTAATAAACTGGAAGAATAGGAGCCTATTTCCGACACCTCGTGTGGCGTGGCCTATTTTCGCCCATCCCAAACAATTGAAATCTTTACATATGTGGATTCAAACAGTGCAATCAATAACTAGGGATCAATAACTGGGAAAATCACAGGCTTTACAGTTAACAATAAACATGAAACTGGGTTTAATCTGGAAATAATCTTGCTCACCATCCGTAACCAGCCCAATGCCCTCCGATTCCCGCGGTTGCTATGTCGGTTTGCTGCATTAGTCCGCATGGTGGCGCTATTGAAATATTAAAGTCGCAACACTTCTTCTCATTTTACCTTATAAATAATTAAAGTGAGGAAGGAATATTTCTTGGGACACAAGGCATTATATGCATGTAATGGACCAATCAGAAGATGGGAAACGGATGTCGTTTGGGATGGAATCATTCGCCGGTCGGCGCTGCACTGTTCGCCATGGGAATGCACGCGACACACGTGCGTTGTACACGTGTACTCATTTTCCGAAGCAAACTGCTCAACTAAACACCCCGTGTGTCCATGAAACCTCCAAGTAACTTTCAGTATGATCAGTTCCCTCGTGATTTTTTTATTAACTGGTCACAAATTTTCATACAAAGATCGCCGTTCCAAACGGTTGAAATTCGGTGTACGGCATCGCGAAAACCAGCTTATATAAAATAGCCACATCATCATTTCCTGTAATTTAACAGGGCAAATCATTTTCCACGAGACCCATCCGTACCTGAAAACATTGAAAACAATAGGGAGGTGCGATTTAAAACTTGACCCCAAATTCGCTACAATTGACGGCCTTTTAGGCCGAAGCTTCGTACAACGGAATTTCGGCTAACTATTTTTGAACACTGGGGGCGATGTCTTTTGCGCAGGCAGAATCGGCCGTGAATGCTCTTGAAATGTATAAGTTTGATTGTAACGAATGTTAAATTTGTGTGTTATATTTTGAAGTATTTTTTAAAAACCAATTTAGAGCGTCTGCAGCCAGGTGGTTCACAAACAAACCGTGTCGAGCATTGCCCCTAATGTTTCCTAATAAAACTACAAAAGAATAGTCTAGAATCTTCTTTTACAATTTATATGGTGTTTGGTTTTAACTGCCGCACTTATCGCTTGCAATCGGCGAGTTACAATATCTACACAAGTGCAAGTATACCGAAATGTTATCAATAATGTTGGGGTTGTGTGTTTTTGTTACGTGCCAAGAGGGAAGGATGGCGACTTAGATCCTCTAATTACATTCCTTAGAAACTCACAAACTTGATTATGGAAATATAAGTTGAAAATGTTTGATTGAAGCTCCCTTTTGATTATTATTTAATTCGTTACTAAACGCACATTCGGATCTCAGAAAATATATACATTTCCTTTACTTTACCAAACTCGCTTTTCATCATACAAAAATGTGTTTCAATTAATCAAATTAGATGCAATCCCAAATTAGAGGAGTGAAGCTGCTGGCTTCTTAATTTCAAAAGAAAACTACACACTTAATTGAATTACTACACGTGGAAAATTTAACAAATACAAATCATAAAACAAATTTATAATCAAAGCAAAATTACATCAACACCAAATTTTGCTTTTCATTTAAACACTAAGCATTTACAATTATAAGGTGTGCGACCAAGGTAGACAGAAAAATATAGATTTCAAAAATAAAGCAAACATTTGACTCGTCTGATTGAACAAACACCCAACTGCTGACAAAACCCACCAATGATGGGAATAAACCACATTGTAACAGAAGATCTGTGCACCCAAGATATCCAAGCCACGCCCAAATTGATTTGCATAAACCAAAAATGTGGCTCATGAGGAATGCACAAACAAAAATACAAATTTCACACTTGCAAAACAAGAAACGTTCCAGGAGAATTGGTCAGATACGTCAGAAAATATCTTTAAATTAATAGCCAGGTAGGCTATTTCTACACTGCAGTCGACAACATTATATTCTTTTATGACTTATTACATGTTGTATTTTATTAGACGGAATTCATGGACTGTTTATAAAATTCCATGTTTTACAGAAATCATCCTGAAATAGTGTGGTAGCATCAAGATTCAAAAATTTGAATTAAAATGAACATATTGCCTAGTTTTTTATCTTCAACATTGAAACAGTTTTCAATTTTTAATTTACAATATAACATAAAAGCCCCTCGACCTTACTCCCAGTTATGTTGTTAGACTTAAACCAAATTTAACTTCAACGTTAACAACCACTACGTTTTAATTTTTGTTTAACAGACGTTTAACTGAACAAGCGGATATTGTCTAATAGGCCCACTAAAATTAAAAACAGTGCAGGATATAAGAAACATTATTTACAGATTACACGCGATAATTATGGAGTGAATTTAAATTCATCACATCACCGCAAATTTACGGTGATTGTTTTCTATCGATTATTTTTTTTCGATAACGCATTAAATTAATCGAACAGCCGATTTTTTTCCCTGAACGCTTATTTTAAAGTACATGACGTAAATAAGGCCAAAAACAAAAAAAGTCTCCGGTTTCTGGTATGCGCGCGTGTCGCCGTAGCCATGCGCGTCGGCAAAATGAAAACGTTTTTTTTTCAATGAAAGATGATGTCTCAAAACCACCAAACTCACTGGTTTGACAAGAATCCTGCTGCTGCACAATTTTAACGTGTTTTTAGATGGGCTTATGATCGAGAATAAGCTTTATGTGGCCTCTCAGGACTCCCATATATTTGCACTAAATTTAGTCGGGCACCATTTGCAGTCATCAGCCGACATTTGAAGCAAAACAAGTCAGGTAAAAAAAGCCGCGTGGCCGCACCACTTTTTGGGCAAGCTCCATACCAGAAACCGGATACTTTTTTTTGGGGGGGGGGGGCCTAATATTCAACTACTAACAAGCCAGCGGTCAATGTTGAGATCTTCATCCTCAAAATCAAACAGTTGTTTTTAGCTAAAGCGTGTTCACCATGCATGTCATCCACTTGTACCTTCTTATCAGAACAGGCCCGTCTTTTTGTTTTTGTATTTCTTTTTAATTCAAGATTGGAAATTTACGGCTGGAAACATTATTTTTGTTGTCAGAGGTCATGCATACTTTTCCTTACAAGTGTTACCATTTTCTTTGATTTTCTTTTTCATTCTTTACCCCAATAAATATTTGTATTTGTTACGAATAAAGTTATTTGCCTGTGACATTACAAAGCTCCATTTTTCCTGAAATCATTGCTGTCAGCGAGAGTGTAAACTGTGGTGAAATACTCCTCTGATTGGTACGGGTCTTATCGGGCTGCTCGCCCAGTGATCCTCAAACATTTCGCCAATTAGCATGCATTTCAATACAATGTCATACACAGTTGGGCCTACATCTGCCAATCCCGTACCAGATAAGGGATCGGGTTACCCCTAAGGGGGCGGGGAGGAGCTCTCTCTTCTTTGCCCTCTTCCTCCAAACCATCCACACTCTGACCCTCTACACACAAGCTGGGGGCGTCGTCTCTGAAAAGAGGCGGGATCTCGACAGGAGTTGATATCAGGAAGTTGTCGATGTCTCCGTACTGGGTGGGAGGCTCTGTGCGGATGGGCGGGGCGTCCAATGGGTGTGTCTTGGTGTGATGGACGTCTGCGTACATGAGAACCTGCAAAAACAAATAGGTAGAAATGACTGTTTTGAATGCAAATATCACGACGTCGCATTTGGAAAATTTGATTATTTGACAAAGAAATGTATACACAATTTTAGTTTCACGGAAATGTAACCAGAATGCATATTTGTTTTGATAACTTTAAAGAATGTATTAGTTTTAATTTACATACTTCCTTAGAAATGGTGGCTGCTGGTTGTTGGTTGCTGGTAGACGGCATATCGCTTTGCTCCACCGGGGAACCAGGGAGGACAACAGTCTCCACTGCCCTATTGCCTGAAACAAACAAAAAGCCAGGCAAAAAGAAAACTGGAACATCAGTTTTTAAACCAAAAGCATCCAAAGTCGTTGAAATAGGTTGAAGAAGTGTGGCATGTAAAAAATCTTCCTGCAAAACACTTTTTGATTCCTGCAAATACAATGTTTGATTATGTTTCCGGATGCACCACTTGAAGACAGTGTTGGTTGTATGTCAATAAAGCAGAGGTAGATCGGGCATGACACAGGTTTTAACTCAACGTTTCGGTGTGTACACTAACCGAAACGCGGAGTTAACTAATCACTTTATATTGAATAACTGAACTCTTTGAATCAATTACCGGGATTGTAACGTCGGATGTTCCTTGTTGCTTGAATGCCACTGCTAGAGGGCGGTGTGGCAGCAGGAGGCGACTGGCTACTCGGAAGGAACGTATTTTCTTCGTAGATATTTCCCGCATCTTGTTATAAATTTACCACAATCATGAAATAGGCATCTCTTAAAATGGCTATATTGTTTTAAAGGTAGAATTAATAATAGACTTCGATCACTGTTGAAAGGGTATAATGCGTAAGGAGGCCTTATTAGACCCATCCAATTGAATCAGTTTGGTTTTAGTTTGTATTAAAAAGTGAACTCATTTGAGACTTTGATTCAATAAAGAAGTTGCATCCTGTCACAATGAAACGCAACGTCAAGCAAAGAGCGAATTGTCATGCTTTAAGTTATTGGACATAATCGTTATCATTGTTCGATGCGCGTAAGATATTCATTCCAGCGGCCCTGTTCCTTAAATATTTCCTACTTGCGTTTAAATTTTGAATACGAAGATCCCACTCAGGCACTCAGGCACTCAGCTTAGTTTACCTGATGGTCCCACGACTGTGCTCAAGACAGGACTCACAGACGCCGTAGGCCTGTCGGGTCCAGTCCGTGTATAGTGAACTACAGGCCTGCAAATAGCAAAATAACGATATGGAATTTGAAGCTTATAGAGTCTGCTTGTTACATGCTACGTGTTTTCATCGGCAAAATTCATGCAGTTTTTACAGGAAAACAGTACATCAACAAGGACTCTTTGTGTAAGGGCCCTAGTCCTGTCAAATAGTATATGGCAGTTATATTACAAGCATGAGTATTGCACCAGATTGCGCGACATTATCAGTCACTCCATGACAAATTCATGGCTGTAGAAGCCATAGGGACAATAATCGAATGGCTTTCTTCGAAGGAATCGTTTGAAACATCTGTAAGTTTTCATTTGTTTAATATATTCCAGCATGCACTGTTCATATATAGTTTGTCATCAGAACATGCATGATACAGGTTTTAAAAATAACTTCAGTAATGACGATCATTAAAATGAGTTTTAATATCCTGAAAGACCTATCGTGTAAGTGCAAAAAGAAACTGACCTGCATTACTAATTCAAATAAATCATTGTCAAAGCGAAACCCCTTTGACTGTCAATATTTAAAATACATTTTACTCACTGGTTTCCATCGGAAGGAACGTTATCTGTAGATAGAGTAAAAACAAATTTAAACCAAAAACAAACATTTCAATTAGTTTCTGTATACCTTCATTGTTTACCTTGATTCATTGCGAAAGTGCAATGTGAACACTTTCGATTTTCCGATTTTACACCTTAAGGCACACAAAATGAAACTATTTGAAAAATGAAATCATCTCCCTATTCGTTTTATTTTGCTGCCATAAAGCTTAGGCCTATATAGGATAAATCTGTTTCCTGGTGTAACGAATTCGAATTGACCTTTCCATTCGAAACGCATTACGATTACAGTGTATTCTGGACAATCAACAATACTGTTCTGATTATCCGTTTTCCTTAGCTTTGATCTTAACAAATAAATTTTTCACTTATTACTGGCAAACATCAAGAAAAATATTTAAAGATTGCGTTATTGGCTGAACTAACAGGCACAACACACTTACTGTACAATTTGCCCAATATTTGCCGATGTGGCAGAAAAGTCTTAATGTCCACCGTTAATTCGTATACTAAACAAGAAAAATTGAGGTTCCTAGGTAGGTCAGTTGTATCAAATTGATGACACAATACATAAGTCCAAGGTAATGAAAATCAACAAATTATTGCTAGCAGCTACAACTGATCATTAACGCTGCAGCATTTCCTCAGCAGCAGTTCCTCAGCAGCAGTTCCTCAAAGTAGCAGAATGGCAGCGCAGCAGCAGTATATCAGGAATAGGATCAACTACTGTCTGGCAGTAAGTCCGAATATGATTACAGTACGAGTATGACAGCAGTATGACAGTACGACACTTCGGTAGTAAGACAGCCAATATCAAAAGCAGGGTTTAGAGTAAACCGGGTTTGCCAAAAACCACTTACCCTTTTGGCGTTTCCAGAAGACAATCGCCGCTAAAAGAACAAGCAGAAGTGCAGCTGCTATACCAACTGCAATGAAGATCAAAGACATCTGACTCTGCATCGAGGGGTCTACATATGAAATGTAAAGATGAGGTTAAAAAAATCTTGACAGAATTCAAATCACCCTGCTGCTGTATATTAACTACAAAGGACAATTGAACAATCGAGGAGATCAAAGTGTTATCACCACTTTTCTTGGTCGTTTACAAATTCACCTTATTGGAAATATCTGTAAGTTTAGTTTGTCGTAATTTGTGTCGGACTAGCTGCTTTAAAGGCCACAACAAATCTGTCGGAACACAAAATGGTCCTTACTGTCCTGATACAAAATAGCAGCCTGATATTGGTACATTTGAATACTGTGTTTGTTTTATTAATTGGAATTCAAAGAGGCCAAATGCCATGAGTAAATTCAAACGAAGTCATCCTATCAATGTTCATGTTTCTAAGCTTGCGTTATCTTGAGGCTTACTGAAAAAGAAACTACTTTGTATTATTAGATGATATCGCTGTGCTTTAGCTATCCGGAAACACTTCTTGGAAATGGGGTTGACCTCTATGTGGCACAAAATGAATGCAAAGTAAAAGCAACTAAAACGTACAGAAAGAATTGCATGTGTGGGCCTTGAATGTCTATTAACACGCTTTTAAACAACCAAGAGCAGCCTATGGTTCCTAAAAATTTAATTTTAACAAATCAAACATGACCATAAACATTTTGACTCTTAATCCCAATGATAGTGGTGTTTGCAGTTTGTCTATATACATCGATTTCATTATTTTCATCAACATGGAACTATACTCTACCTGTTACAGATAAATCGAAGCAACATTGAAGATTAGAGCTAGCAAAATCCAAAAAAAAAAAATACTCCAATATTTTTGTGCAACATCTATTCTTACTACACCTCGCAAGTTAAGCTGGAACCTTCTGCCTAAAGGGCTAATTTGATTGGTCAATCAGAGTTCTAACCTTTTTTGAAATTTACCCCATTGACCGCGATGATATCCCAAGTTGATCAAATTGGCCGACCTTAATGAGTGTTAAGCGTACGTCGCAAATCAAGTTGAAAAATAAACTCACTCGGTGTGTGAATTGTTGATCCGGAATCTCAGTTGTCATTTTGGGATGACCATGTAGTTTCAAACTCCCCCCTTCCATCTTTAATACGTCAAGTTAAAATGTCAAAGAAAATCACATACTCTAAATAACTGAGAAAATCAATTTCTAATAACTTATTTCAATGTCGCAGGTGACAATAGAGTTCAAACTAAAACCTGTTTTTTTTTTGGTTTTAATCCAACCTTTTCTAACAGCTTTTGTGTTGTGTATGGACTTAAATTAAGATAAGTAGACTAATAATGCACTTGCCTATGCGCATGCGTGCGCGCGCATCTGTATGGAAAGTTCCAGTACTTTCCCGCTCTTGTTCAAGTGATAGTTTTGAGTGACAACATGTTTGGCCACTTTCGGCCCTTTTCTCAAGTTATCAAAGTCTCCATGTCAATTTTTGAGTTGTTAAGTTACCCCCAGTACACACAACAATTTATGGCGACAAGAATGGGATAACTCTTAACAACTTTAGGCATTGAATCACAGCGTTTTGAGCATAGCATCAGAAAAAAAGTCATGGTGAGAGGTGACCCGGCGTGGTCATGACGCCATGACGCCGACGCGTGATTGCCATGGTAACCAGCCACACAAAGCGCCGACGCCCGCACATTACTGCGCGTGTACGTGCCCGTTGTAGTGCCCGCGGTGGGGCCGATGTGCAGTGCAGCCGGTAGCCGCATGCAGGCAAACCGATCGAATTCAGGCCAGGAACTAGAGGATGCCGGAGCGGGACGATTTTAGCCGTCGTTGCAGTCCTGTTTGCAGCTACAAACCAGGCCTAGCTGCCAAGCACGAGGCAGGATTTTGCGGGAGCCGACGACCGGAAAATCGCCAGGAGGATGGACGCGTACTGATAGGGATCGAGGCCGTACGATACGGATCCAAGATGGCGGCGCCAATGGAACGTTGCTAACGTCATACTGGGATCGACAGCCAGCTTTCTTTCCGTGAAAAATTGCAAAATACACATCGATCTCCGCCAGCCCTGCCGTTAACTGTTGATATGAAAGATCGCCGCAAGCCCCGATTGACATTTTAACTTTGTTTTATCGTACACGGAATATCGTTTGTATCGTCGCGCACGAACACAATTTCCCAATTCGCAAGAAAAGCCAGCAGGTTCGCCGTGCCCATACTGGTGAGCCAGTCTAAACCAGGATGGATATTTACTGCCTGCCTGCAAGCCCACAGCCTTTGGACTGTTGAACACTGATCAACGCCGCCGCCAATACTGATTTAAAGGAACTGGACAGTGCATCCACCTGCAAGAGACTTGAACTTGAACATGTTGAAGTAGGTAGGCTACAAGCCAATGAGATTTATGATGATGACAAGCAAAGGTCGGTTTTCTTAACCAATTTAGGTAGTTAGAATTACCATACCCTACGGGCTCTAGTTCCGCCAAAAAAGCCCACAAAGAAGACGTACAAGGATTGCAAAGACGTGCTTAAGGCACATTTCTCGCCAAAACATACTGAGATTGTTCAGAGATATAGATTTTACACTTGTAGTCAGAAAGTCAATGAAACTATTCCCCGGTTTGTTGCTAACTTAAGACAACTTAGTGAGGGATGTAACTTCAAGGAGTTAGATAATATGCTAAGAGATAGAGTAGTAGTAGGATGCCGTGATGACACGGCTACCCAGAGAAAGCTCCTTAGTGAGTCGAAACTAACTTTGGAAAAGGCCCTCCAAATAGCTAGGGTTATATAAGTTGCAAATAGGGACGTAGAAATTTAAGAAATATCGGAAACCAGCCCGATAGCCCCTCGGGTACAGTAGTGCATAAAATGCAAGGGAAGCCCCCTAAGCAGAAAAACCGAGAAATTTAGCCCCAAACACACACAACCAGAGAAGCCAGCGGTCCTGTGAGCAAGCCAGGAAAAAGATGTTGGTGCTGTGGTGCCAGTCATGCCCCTACATTCTGCCCGTTCCAGAAGGAGAAGTGCTTCAAGTGCTCTCAAGTGGGAAATACTGAGAGCCAGTGTGATAAAGTGCAGTCTTTTCAGAAGCAGAAATATTATCGCCGCCCCAAAGCGCACATTATCTTGAAGGTGATGAGAATTCAAGCCCAAAAGTGGAAGACCTCAAGTTGAGCCGGCCAAATCCCTTCATAACCAAAGTGTTGCTTAATCGCAAGGAGATTAATATGGAAGTCGACGCAGGCAGCCCCTGGACAGTTGTTTCGAAAGATGTATTTAGTGCCTTTAGCCAAGATACTGCCATGCAGCCCACTGATGTCAAGCTTAACTCCTAACAGGTGACTCTGTTGCTATACTCGGAGAAGCATCAGTAGATATGCAGATTTCGTCTCACAAGAAGCCAACGAATATGCCCCTATTGGTCGTAGATCGTGGAGCAAGTCTGATGGGAAGAGATTGGATACAAGCATATCCCTTTGTAGTCTGCGAGTTTACCAGCCAAGGGAAAACTCAAAAGCCAAGCCTCAGCATCAACAAGGTGCAAAACGATCTGGAGTCGCTACTCAGCCAACATAATGCTGTTTTGGACTGCTCCAAAGTTGGTAAATTGGAAGGTAACCAAGCCAAGGTGTATCCTAAGGAGGTCCTGGACGGGACATACTTCTACGAAGCCGCCCCAGTCCCGTATGCAATGAAAAGCAAAATCGATGCTACCTTTGATGATCTCCTTGCGAAAGGCATTATCAAGCCCAAGAAATTCGCTGACTATGACTGCCCAGTAGTTGCTGTAAACAAGCCCGACGGTAAAGTCAGAATATGTGGCAACTACAAGCTTACTGCAAATAAAGTCTTGAAGCTAGAGCAGTACCCGATACCGACTCTGGATGATCTTCTTCAAACATAAGAAGGAGGCCAGAAGTACAGCAAGCTAGACTTGCCTATCACCAAATATAACTTGATCCGTCAACACGGAAATACACCACCATCAACACACATATAGGACTATTCCATTACACAAGGTTACCGTTTGGAATAGCAAGTGCCCCAGCCCTATTCCAGAGGACAATGGAATCGCTATTGGCAGACATTCCAATGTGCAGTCCGTACTTGGTTGACATCATCATTACTGGCAGGAATGATGAGGAGCACTTGGCCAATTTGAAAGCTGTGTTGTCCAGATTTGAAGAGAATGGACTGCGCGTAAAGCAGGAAAAATGTGCATTCCTGCAGCCCTCCATCGAGTATTTGGGTCATGGTCTAAACAAAGACGGAATAAGTACATTGCCGAAGAAACTGGACGCCATCAAGAATGCAGAGAGACCTACAAAACAAACTCAGCTGCAAGCCTACCTAGGACTTCTAGGTTAATGCCGTAAATTCATTCCCAACTTGACACAGGAGATTGCGCCACTCACACAACTGTTGAAGGCAGAGTATGCATCAAAGGAGAAATGCTATCCTGGGAAGCCCGACCCAAGCTTCAAATGGGGACCTGCACAGCAGAAGGCGTTCGAGAAGTCAAAGAAACTCTTGCAGAGTGATAACGTCCTAACACTTTGATCCGCCCAAGCCAGTAGTACCGCAGACAGACGCCAGCCCTTACGGACTAGGAGCGGTTATGAGTCACCTACAGGACCAGACGGGAAAGAATGCCCCATAGCCTTCGCCTCAAGGACTCTCACAGCCAGCGAACACAACTAGAATATTTCAGAATATAATCACATGTTTTTGTTCCCTCCTATTGAGTAGTATTTTATGTTACATAACAAGCTAGGGACAACGAGGGAGAAAAAGAAGAAATGACACAAAGACTAAAGCTGTACCTGTTTCTTGATGTTGGCTGAGCAACAGAATATTCGTGACCACCTTTCCTCCTGCCCCAGTTGCTGTACACGTTAGATTCCTCCGCTGACCAGGCTGAAACGACGGCACGGTAAACTTGCTGCTTGTGTTGTGCAATCTCGTCCCAACTACCCTCGTCTCTCCGCTTGTGTTCTTTCCAGCGAATGCCCATGTGATTTCTGCCGGGGGTTTGGTGTCTGTGGCCAGGCAGGTGAAGCTCTGGTCGGTGTCCGGTCCGATGTTCACGTATCCGCTACAAATTTCGCCGGTAGTGGCGTTGACGATGTACACATCTCTGGGTGGCACTGCGGAGAAGCATTACATTGTTTTGGCATCAGGACAAGACAAACAAGCCTGTGAAAGAACTTTAGTAGAAATTCCAAATTCTGCAACATCCCCCAAATAAATAGTTTGCGCTTCATGCAAGTTCCTTTTTATTGGAGTGTGAACTTTAAACAGGTTATTGGATAAAACAGCACTGCGTGCGCGCGCACATACCACCTTCGAGCGCACATGGTGCCACTTAATATCATTGATTGTGGTTGCTGGACCCGTCTGCATAGATTGTTAGCACAAAATATTAATAGCAAAACACACATTGGTAATTTAAGACCTACTGACGTTAACATGTGCGCTTTCTTATCCTGACTCTTATCGGAAAGCGCACATGTAAACACCGCGTGACGTCATTCTGTCTCAGGTCTATTGAAACAGGTGTATCCATTTTCAACTTACCACCTACTGTCAAGGATGTATTTTTCCACACCGTCGTAGCCGAATACTGAGTTTCACATCTGTAGCGCCCCTCATCTGTTAACTCGAGGTCGTTAATCGTCAAGTTGCAACCGTGGTTGTCATGGTGATAGTCATACTTTCCCGCATTGGTGCTGTCCTCATTTGTGCACGCATAGTGCAAGGGTTCATTGCCAAGCAACCACCTAAAGTTTATCTTTGGAAAGTCGGATGGAACACTTTTGACGAAACATTCCAAAGTGATAGCCCCTCCTCGTATCCCGTTTATCACGGAAGTTGTCTCGGCAATTCCTGGTCCGACACAAAGGAGCATCAATTAATATAAAGAGGAGACTTGATCCTTTGAATAAAATGCTACCATAAAGGCACCCGGGCCGCAATCAAAAAGGAATTGGGGTGGATTCTGCCTTCTTCTGATTTCGGGGAGACCAGTTGGCAGTTGCAAATTCAAAAGAGCGGGGAAAGGTGGGGCAGCTGGACCTCATTTGACGCTAGGGCTAGTCGTTCTTTCCCACTTTTCCATTCTCTCATTCTTTTCATACTTCAAAATTCGACAGAGGGAAAGAGCAACTGTTTAACCCTAAAGGGGCCGGGGGGGGGGGGGCGGAATCCGCCCCCCCCCCTCAACATTTTCCGTGATAGCTTCTAAAAAAGAATTTTTCGCAACCCGAGCTGTTATGACTTTTTAGCCTCGAGTTTTGCGCATCTTTTGATACCAAAAACATACAAATCGGACCCCGGGTTGCCGTGAAAAATGAATTTTCGCATATACGTCGTGTACACAGAGCAGAATTGACATTTGTACATATGAATATTTAATTAGCCATAATTCCAAAACCCTTTGGCCTATAGTCATGACATTTATTGGGTATGTTTAGGAAGAGTTGCTCTATGCATGTGCCGAGTTTCAAAATGTTTCGTCACTCGATGGCCGAGATCTTAGGGGGGTGGGGGGCGCCCCCCCCCCCCCTGGCTGAGAGATGGTCAAAATAACCCGGCCCCTTTAGGGTTAAAACGGTTGTCTGCACTCCTCTTTCGGTTTAATTAACAAATAAAGCTTGAATTAACAAAATGCTTGAAGAGGGATGGTCCCGCCCACCTTCCCCGAAACTGCATAAATAGGTACCACGTATGTACACTATGTGGGATATCCTATCACGGCGTTTGCACATTATTTTACGGATATATACAAATAGACTAGGGGACATTTCTAAAATTATTACAAGAAGAGGCATTTTCGAGTAGAAATTTGTCACATAGCTATTTTACCTAATTTTGGGGTGTTGAATCCGAAAATGATGGTTACCGAGCTAGATTTTTAGTGAAAATATGCCTAATTTGCATACATTTTTACTTCCTGTTGTGTAATATATTTGTTCCCATATTTGGGTATTTTTTTATTATCTTATTTTTTGAAAAAAGTTAATATTTGTGATTTTACTTACACTTCCTGACTTCAATTACATTTTCTTAAGCATTAAAGTGACTGAATGATTATAAGGACATAGTAACAATCCAAAATGGCTACTATTACACCTTAAAGTTGTGCGCATTTACCTTGTCTCCAGATATCATCAAGTGGTCTTTCCAAACCTTAGTATTGATGAAATTCAAATTCACCATGTTGCTTCCTGGTACGTCATAAACCCTAATAAACACGGTTTTGGAAATTCATGTGAACAAATATAACATTGTGATACAAAACGGGGAAAAAACGGAATGTTGATGATCAAGTAAATGAAGGGTTGCCTAGCGTGGGAGATTTGAGCAAATTCCAGGAAATTCCCAAAAATTATTGTTAACAAAAAACACGTTTTGACGTTGACATTACCATTGTAAGCAACAATAATCTTTTGTTTTGAGGGATGTTCTTGAACTTGTTCAAGTTCCCAACGTTATAGGCAACCCTTCGCCTAATATTTAGCCCAATTTAGGGACACCTCATTTTCCCCTATTTTTTTCTTTTTGGCCTAAATATCAAGATGTTATAATTTGACATAATTTCATATTTAATTTTGTAAGGGTAAATGTGCTTGTAAAAAACATTGTGAGTTTGAAGCTCATCAATACTGACGTTTGGCGAGACTATGATATCTGGAGACAAGATAAATGCGCGCAACTGTAGGGTGTAATAGTAGCCATTTTGGATTGTTACAATGTCCTCATAATCATTCAGTCACTTTAATGCTGTATGAAAATGTTATTGAACTCAGGAAGTGTAAGTATAATCACCAAAACAAACTTTTTAAAATATAAAATAATTAAAAATATATCCAAATATGGGAACAAATATATTGCACGACAGGTAAATTATACATATTATCACTAAAACCTCCAGCTTTGTAACCATCATTTTCGGATTCAGCACCTCCGAATTCGGTAAAATAGCTGTGTTACCTACTTCTACTCGAAAATGCCTCTCTTTGCCCAAAATTAGCCCTTTAAACAAAAATATCGCCAAGTCTAAGCCCTTTAGTCAAACATTCAAAATAGCATTCGTACACTCATTATAATGACACTTTCTATTCTTCAGCACTATTCCATTCTTTTATTAATTAACGTAAGAATAGCGTTAAAGGTATAGTTTATCATTTTTAATTTGTGCATTATGCTCGTTGAAAGCAACCAAAGTGCTCAAAATCTAAAGAAGAGTGACAACTAAAACTAAGCTGATGAAGTTTGTGGTCAGTGAATGCTGTATATTTCGAGAAAAACAATATTCTAGGCTCTCAATTTCAAATCCAATGTTGACAAGCGCCATGTTTTGAATTGCACCCGATTTAACGTCCGGGATACGTTCTTATTAAGCCGATTTCAGCTATGCGAGGTCGCACTCTGAACCAACGAATTATACAGGGTTGTTAAAAAAAAAAGCGGAACCCAAACCCCAAAATTATATTTAAAAAAATCTAGCACCAAAAATAATAATGACTGGAAAGCCAATTTCATAAGCTACTTTTTAGAAGAAAAATGCCCAATCCGTTCAAAGATATTGAAACACAATGACTCTAAAACCTGTCTCCTCGAAAAGTGCGATTTCAAGAATCGTCATCACAATTGTCTTCAAACATCGATAAAACCTCAGTTTAAAAGTTTAAAATATTCAACAAAGTTCTTTTGAAGGCCTGTCTTAAAAAAGTGGATTTTATAAATTAATTGTTTGCATAACCAGGGTTGTTTATAAAGATATTGTGTACTACATTTGCTGACAGTTGTTGAATCAAGTATTCTGTGTTATTTGTTTTTTTAATTCCAAACAGTCAAAACACACACTAAATTGCTTTTTGGACAAAACAGGTTTCATGGTCATCGCGTTTAAACGGTGATATGTTTGGAACGGATTGAGCAATTTCAGTAATTTCTTTCATCTAAAAGTAGCTTATGAAATTGGCTTTCCAGAAATTATCATTTTTTTGTGCTACATATTTTTTTGAAATATGAAATATGTTTTGGGGGTTTGGGTTCCGCTTTTTTTTCACTCAATCTGTAGCAACCGCGCACGCTTGTGCGTCCTGTCAACACTTACGTGCGCCATAATTAAAAACTAACTACTAACGGACATTTTCCAGAATGCGTCTTTAGACGTGTCGTTGGAATGGCATTCTTTTATTGATTTCTTCAAACTGAAAGCTTGCCAGAAAGAAAAACTTCACAGGGAGTTTAGTTCCACTACTATCTTTCAACTAAGTAAGCTTTTTAACAATAATTGCGTCAGTTACTTTTTAGATGACTGCAAACAGATGGACTGTAGCTTTAACCCTGTTGTAGGGAGAAGCCGGTTCAGATTTTTTTTTTACTGATCATCCGTTATATTTGTAACCCCAGGCCCTCATGAATAGTTCAATCTTCTAACGTATTTAACAAACAAATACGATTCATTGTGTTTTCCATTTCCACGAAAAATATATTAGAAAATACTTACCATTAAACACGATGAGTTCTATTACAGTTATTTTGCTTCCTCTTGATGATGTAATTTGACAGTAGAACTTTGTGCCATTCAGTAACTCGGAAACATGCGGGATCACCAACGCCCCGCTTGTCTCGTTAAGTACAACCGTATAACCCGCATAGGTCTCATTACAATCGACAATGACCGATTCATTTACATGCCATTCGAGCGAGACACCTGTACCACTGCATGGTGGAGTCACAGCCCAGTCAAGTGCTTCGCATTCCAGCTCCACATCTTCTCCCTCCACGGCTGTCAAAATTGTCGCTATGAAAATATACGACAAACAAAATTCGAAATCAGAAGAAAATACCCTTTTTTTTGTGAACGCTCATCGGGTCGATCGGGATTTAAGAAATGGATTATCCTTTTGTGGAGTGTTTAGTCTTCTGTCGTTGGAATAACAGTTGACCTACAACCATAGGTAAAATGAGTGTCAACTATCAATATGATTTTTTTTCACTGCTATTCAAAATATTTTGGACATTATTAACTTACCACAAGAAAGGTTATATGCGGCACCAAACGTGCAGATAAAAATCAACGCGTATAACTGATTCATTTCTGAAGAGTGTCAGTTACGTCGGATGGTCACTAAATCAGAAAGCAACTCCTACGCATAACGCGATAGTTTTCCTTTTATATCAGGCTAGTCACCGACGAAACTAATGTCGAAAGCTTTTGAAACATAAACAATAATTGTGTATGGCTGATTAAGTAGTGACACGTATTATTTGGACAATGCATGTCGTGCAGAGCTATATGGGCAGAAAAGAAGTGTTCAGAATATTATTGCCTATGCAGCGCTACATATTATGAAAACCAACACTTTGACCGAATTTACCAGAATTGAAAGTGTAAGAGGATGTTCATTTCCGGAAAGAAAATATAAGAGCTTTTTATAGTTCAACATGCCATCCAGAGTGCATTGTCAGGGTAAAGAGACACAATGTACATGTTGCTGCAACGTTTGATTCGTTGAAAAACATGTATATAGCTTATAATATTAGGCCTATACTCGTTTCTCGTTCATTGATTGCTTAATGGCATACAAGACAATCTCATAATATTTGCCTAAGATCAGTAAATACATTTAAAGACAAGATGTTGTCTGCCCTAGTGGGGTAGTACTTCACTTTGAATGACGCAGAACAGGCGCGTACAACGACAAATCTTCTGCATTGCAAGTTCTTTTAACCTAGTCGTGGCATTCAATAGCGCCCTCACATTCTCATTAAGGAAAACGATTTTGAAAAATAATATTAATAGCAAAGATGCAGTTCGATCAGTCATGTGGTTGCTAAGGCAAAGCGTCTGCCGTCGTTAGGCAAAGCTAATCCAATTACGTACTTAGACGCTATAGCAGAGCAGTGAAATTCATGCATCACAAAAAACATGGCCTTTTGAACGTTGTGTTTCGCAGAAAATATGCACAGTATGATTGAAATGTTAAATTATAACGGATTAGAAACGTCAATGCTGGTTACTGGTATAGCTAACTTTTAAGTCGGGAAGAAATCGTTCAAAAAATTCCCCAAATCTCTGTATTTATATTTATTTCTAGGAATTTCTCAAAATTGTTATTTCACGAGCAGTTGAACACTTATATCATCTAAGTTTATTCCGAATTTCAGCTTAATCTGTTGTTGCAACCGCTAGTGTTACAATTTGAATGATCTCCATGGAAACTTTCGACGATGATTTGTGCCAGTCCAAGTCACATGCATTGTTCATCAAAGCGCCTTAGTAGCTACGGTTGACCGATTTCGGCCAAGCCAAACAATATCGTATTGTAGATTAGCATATTCATTAGCGTCACTTGGCGTGTTTTGGCGTGGGTCTCGATATCGACCAAGGGAAGCCGGCAAAAAGGTTGACATTAATCAACTAATAACTCGTAAAGGAGGCTTTTCTCAAAATGTGTACTGCAAATCATAATGGATAGGAACCTTATTAATATCCGTGAGGCTTGAAAAGATTGCCAGCGTTTGCAAACGTCAGTGTTACAACTTTCAATGATGCACGGAGATGGGCCTCTTTTTTTTCCAATTTCAACGAAAGTAATGAACACATAACACGATTTTTAGCACATACTTGGATCATTATGAGGAAAGTAAACCCTGAAAGTTGCATGAAGATACGGTCTTCCAAACGGGAGAAATTAATTTTCAAAGATTTCGCCCGCCAACGTGAACTTTAGTTGTGTGCACATTTAGTTTCATTTAAAATGAAGTGTTACGTAACATTTAGAAATCGCCTATGACTGCAATTATGTGCTGGCCGCTGTTAAAGGGACGCTGCATTATTCACCTTAACGGCTTAACTTTAAGGAAAAGCGACGCCCGACGAGAAAAATTTTAGACATTTTACGTGTATTCCAACCTGCAACCGATACTCATTTGGACGAATTGGGTCGGCGGTAAGTTCCAGACCGCGAATGATTTTTTTCCCCAAACATCGTACGGATGGTTGTCGAGCGCCATCTACGATACTTTTAGTATACTTACGCAGGTTTATAACGCCATCAATTACGATTTGCTGTCTCAGTTGGATTATAGTATACTTTTGAGATCGGAGGGTGTAAGTTATGTTTATTCTGTGTTATGTATATTCATGTTGTGCAGAGCTTTAGAGGATAAGCTATATAAAAAGGGACAATGGTGTTTAAGATAATCACCGACGATCGGCAGCGGATTCGTGAACTGGTAGGAAGTAGTCCTGATTTCTAATCAGGTGATCCGAGCTCGAACCCCAGTGAGCGTTTTTCACTTCTTCTCATTCTACCTTTTAAATAACTAACGTGAGGAAGGAACATTTCTCCCCTCCCAGAGTCGTTGGTGTCAAATGACTCGTCAAACAGGTTAAATGGTCCCTAAAGAGTAAAATGGACTTTAACACAGAGTCAATTTGACTCCTCTCCAAGAGTCATTGGTGGCCGGCTTTGCGAAGTTGGTTGTTGTTGTTGATGGCGCGTAAAGCGCGTTGCTGCCGTAGTCTGGTCACTAACTCTCCTACATTTAGATCGATACGGCCGGTCTCCGGCTTACGTAGCTATGTTTGTCGCCATCTTGGCACTCTCGTTGCTTGCTGTGCTCGGTCGGTGGAGTCAAGCTTTGATTTTTTTTTTTTAAGTGAAGTCGGAATTCACAGTAATCATTACAAATAATGAGCCACAACATTCGTATTCGGCACAGGTGCCTTTATTTTGACAACAGGCGTTGAGCAAAGGTTTATTAACGAGTTTTTAAATTAAACTCACGACGACGAGCCGCTTGACACACTCGAATGAAACTATATGACGGGACGATTTTTTGACGTGTGTATAATCACCCTGATTTTACAAACGTCGAAATGTCATCGTTTTGGTTGGACAGTACTTTTTGCCTTGCATGTAAATTTACCTCATTGAACAAGCTACTACAATGTTTTGCAATAGACCCCATGACTATAATTTGGCCTTTTAAACTCCACCGAAAAACCACCATGTCACCCTAGCCCCACAGGAGAGTCACAGTAAACTCGCAACAGTGACTCTTTCAAAAGCTTATGAAAGTCATTGTGACTCTTGAAAGGGAGTAAAAAAGGACTCTTTAACGGAGTCGTTTGTCTCCAAAAATGGAGTCGTTTTTGACATAGTTGCTGGACTCCATTTGAAGAGTAAGCCTGACTCTGATTTGGCTATGAGTGTAGGCCGCCGATTGATTACCGCGTATACGGACGAATAACGACGAGAGCCACGACCAAGGCTATATTAACAGGACAATTTTCTGTTCATCTATGAAGCAGCAGGATCATTTACATGTGGAAAATCATTCGCATCTGACCCCTCCGTACCTGAAAACATTGAAAAACATAGCAGGTGCGTGTCGAAAATTGACCCCAAATTTGTCACCAAACGACGCCCTCTTAAGCTGAAGCTCCACGCATCGTAATGTTGGCAAACTATTGTTAAACACTGAGGGCGCTGGCTTTTGCCCCGGCTAAAGCGGCCGTGCACTCTCTTGCAAACATATAATGTATATATATATATATATATATATATATATATATATATATATATATATATATATATATATATATATATATATATATTTATATATATATATTGTATTGTAACGAATCTTTCAATTTGTGTTATATTGTGAGGTAACTAAAAAAAATATTTCAGAGCGTCTGCAGCCAGGTGGTTTTCATTCAAACCATGTGGAGCATCGCCTCTAATGTTTCCTAATAAAAACTACAAAAGAATAGTCCAGAATCTTCGTTTACAATTTATAGTTGTGTGGTTTTAAATGCTGCACTTATCGCTTACAAACGGCGAGTTACAATATCTATACACAAGTGCAACACACCGATATTCTATGGTTGCATGTTGTTGTAACATGCCAAGGGGGAAGGATGGCCACTATCAACCGCTGGAAAATCTGTACAAACTCCAAACCTTGAGGAGTAAAAGCTGCAAAAAATTTGATTTTCAGCATACAAACGTTTTTCGGTAGTAATATTGAATGGAATCCCAAATAAGGGGAGTGAAGCTCCCACACCCATGCCCTGTCATAGCCGAAGGAATATCCGTCCCAAATACAACACAATCCTCAAAATATACCTTAAAATGTGTCTTACAAAACACTTTTGCAACTTCTTAGTACATTTAGATAAAGAGGATAATAAAACAGCTACATTTTAAGACCCACCTGAAAGGGCATCATGTAAACAAAATACCTAGCCAAGCAAGTACAGCATCACATTACTTTAATTTAAATGTCGCTCTTTTGTGATGATCAAACAAAATTTGTTACATTAACAACAAAGTCTTCCATTAACTTGTTTATGCTTTACATTAAACTTCAGCGCAAATTATAACATTGCTTTTTTACACGCATAATTAAAGTCTATATCTACAATGTAGTCGACAACATTATATTCTTTTATGACTTATTGAATATCGTATTATATTAGACTGAATTCATGGACTGTTTATGAAATTCTATGTTTTACAGAAATCATCCTGAACTAGTGATGTAACATCAAAATACACATAATTGAATTAAAATGAAAATAAGGGTTAGTCTTTTTTTCTTCAACATTGAAACAGTTTTTTATCTTAATTTATAATATAACATAAAATCCCCTCGACTTTACTCTCAGTTATGTTGTTAGACTTAAACCAAATTTAACCTCAACTTTAACAACCAATACGTTTAATTTGTCGGGGGGGGGGGGGGGGTGGGGTGGGGTGGGGGGGGGGGGGGGGGGGGCTGGAACATTTCATGGGGGGCGTCATGTAGATCAATGATATCTTTTTAAGAAACTCAAAATCTCAGCTGTTGCCCCCCCCCCCCCTCACGCCCCCCGTGGCTGCGCCACTGAGCGGATACTGTTTAACAGGCCCACTAAAATTTAAATTCATCGCAGGACCGCAAATTTCCGGTGATTGTTTTCTACCGATTTTTTTTTTTATTCGATTACGAATTCACCTAATCCAACAGCCGATTTGTTTTCCCCGAACGCTTTTTTTAAGTACCTGAGGTAAATGATATTCAACGACCAAACGAGCCAGCGGTCAATATTAAGATCTTGATCATCAAAAGCAAACATTATTTTGCTTTTTTTTAGCTAAAGCGTTTTCACCATGCATGTCATCCACTTGTACCTTACAACAGAACAGGCCCGTCTTTTTGTTTTTGTATTTTTTTATTTCAAGCGTGGAAATTTACGGCTGGAAAAAGTTTCAGAGGTAATACATACGTCCCCTCAAAGTGTTTTCGTTTTCTGTGACTTTTATTTTCATTTTCACCGGATATATAACTAGCTCCTTTTTGCCAAAAATCATTTCTGTCAGCAAGAGTGTATATTGTGGTAAAATATTCCTCTCATTGGTACGGGTCTTATTGAGCTGCTCGCCCAGTGATCCTCAAACTGAACATATCGGCAATTAGCGTGCATTTCAATATAATTTCAAACACAGTTGGGCCTACACCTGCCAATCCCGTACCAGATAAGGGATCGGTTTACCCCGAAGGGGGCGGGGCGGAGCTCTCTCTTCTTTGCCCTCTTCCTCCAAACCATCCACACTCTGCCCCTCCACGCCCGAGCTGGGGGCGTCATCTCTGAAAAGAGGCGGGGTCTCGACAGGAGTTGATAACAGGAAGTTGTCGATGTCTGCGTACTGGGTGGGAGGCTCTGTGCGGATGGGCGGGACGCCCAATGGGTGTGTCTTTGTGTGATGGACGTCTGCGTAAATGAGGACCTGCCAAGATAAATAGGTAGATATGACTATTTTTAATGCAAAAATCACGACGTTGCAATTGAAAAATTTGATTATTTGACAATAAATGTATAGACATTTTTAATTTGACGGAAATGTAACCCAATTGCATATGTGTTGTGATAACTTTAAAGATTGTATTAGTTTAATTAACATACTTCCTTAGAAATGGTGGCGGCTGGTTGTTGGTTGCTGTTAGTCGGCGTATCGCTTTGCGCCAGGGGACCAGAGAGGACAACAGTCTCCACTGACCTATCGCCTGAAACAAACAAAAAAGCCAGGCAAAAACAAAACTTCAACATCAGTTTTGAAAATTAAAAAATCCAAAGTCGTTGAAATAGTCTGGAGAAGTGTGGCATGTCAAAAATCTTCTTGCATAACACACACAATGTTTGATTATGTTTCCTGGATGCACCACTTGAAGACAGTGTAGGTCGTATATCACTAAAGCAGAGGTAGATCGGACATGAAACAGGTTTTAACTCAATATTTCGGTGTGTACACTATCCGAAACGTGGAGTTAACTAATTACTTTATATCGAATAACTCTTTGAATCAATTACCGGAATTGTAACGTCTGAAGTTCCTTGTTGCTTGAATGCCACTGCTAGAGGGCGGTGTTGCAGCAGAAGGCGACTGGCTACTCGGAAGGAACGTATTTTCTTCGTAAATATTTCCCGCATCTTGTAATAAATTAACCAAAATCATGAAATAGGCATCTCTTAAAATAGCAATATTGTTTTAAAAGTAGCATGAATCTTAGACTTCGATCACTGTTGGAAAGGATATAATGCGTAAGGAAGCCTTATTAGACCGATCCAATTGAATCAGTTTGGTTTTATTTTGAATTAAAAAAACTCATTTGAGACTTTGAATCATTAAAGAAGTTGCATCCTGTCACAATGAAATGCAACGTCAAGCAAAGAGCAAATTGTCATTCTTTAGTTATTGGACATGATTGTTATCACTGATCGATGCGCGAAAGGTAACATTCCAGCGGCCCTGTCCCTTTTACAATTCTTATTTCCGTTTCAGTTTTGAATACGAAAATCCCACGCTCGGCAGTCACTAAGGTACTAAGCGTAGTTTACCTGATAATCCTGCGACTGTGTTCAAGACAGGACTCACAGACGCCGTGGGCCTGTCGGTTCCAGTCCGTGTGTAGTGAACTACAGGCCTGTAATAATTTTTAGCAAAATGTCGTTATACAAAATAAAGCTTTCGGAGTCATGCTTTTGGGGGGCCTATTACATAATACAAGTGTTCATCGTTTAATCATAAAGTTATTACATATGCCATCAGCCTCGGTCCAAAATGTTGGCAACTGGTATCAAAATGAGGGGAATAATCGTCTTGGCGATTTTTTGGCAAGGTATACACCTCCAGCGTTGGAAAATATGTGATAGCATCGCAGCGGTGGCAGCTTTGTGAGTGTTACCACCTTTTTTTTTTTTTAAATGTCCATCAAAACGCTTGTTACCACTCTAGAAGCGGTACACCTTGCGCATGCTCACTATATAATCATTTATGCCCTGATTTGATACCGACCATACCCCCAAGCTGATGGCCTAACAGGAATACAGTACATGCCAATTTTACGGAAATTTGTTTTCCATAATTGTAACTGCAGAAAGACCTATCATCAATGACGACGCTTTGTGTAAGGTGCATGTATAGTCTTTTCAAATAGTATATGGCCAGTATTGCACCATATTATGCGACATTATCAGTCAAGTCATGACAAATTACTGGCTGTAGAAGCCATAAGGACAGTACTCGAATGGCTTACTTCGAAGGAATCGTCTGGAACATCTGTAAGTGTTCATTTGTGAATTTATTCCAGCATGTACTGTTTCAAAACATGCTGTGATAATGCTCGTATATAAAGTTGGTCATCAGAACATGCATTCAGGTTTGAAAAATATCTTTAGTTAATGACGATCATTAAAATAAGTTTGAATATCCTGGAAGACCTATCGTGTAAGTGCGAAAAGAAACTGTGCCGTATTACTAATTATAATAAATCATAGTCAAAGCGAAACCCCTTCGACTGTCAATATTTAAAATACATTTTACTCACTGGTTTCCATCATAGGGAACGTTATCTGTAGATAGAATAAAGACAAAACCAAACCAAAAACACACGTTTCAATTGGTTTATGTTATTATTACTATATTTGTTTTACCTCGATTCATTGCGAAAGTGCATTGTGGACACTTTCGATTTTCCGATTTTACACTTTAACCCACACAAATTGAAACTCATAACAAGTCCAAATGACCTCCATATTCGATTCATTAAGCGGCCAGCATAATGTCTTTACATGATAAATCAGTTTCCTGGTGTAACGAATTCAAATGACTTTTACATTCGAAACGCGAATATGATTGCAGCGTTTTCTGGACACTAACAATAATGTTCTGATTATCTGTATTCCTTAACTTTATTATCTCGACAAATTATTCTTTTACAATTACTTGCAAACATCAAGAACAATATTTGAAAATTGCTTCATGGGCTGAACTAACAGGCATAACAGGTTACTGCAACTGATCGTGACGTCTGCCCTAATATTGGATCGAACCTCATAATTACCTATGGATGTAAAACAGCCTTTTCATATAAAAGCACGTGTTAACTTTAGACTTATTCAGTGATGTGGTGTCCCCAATATTTGCCAGTGTGGCAGAAAAGTCTAAATTTCTACCGTTAATTTGTATGCTATCAAGGAACACTGGAGGTTCCTAAGCAGGACTGTTGTACCAGATTGATGACGCAAAGTATGCATAATTCCAAAGGCAGGGAATATCAACATATTATTACGGGTGCAAACCTATGTTTCCCAATACCGATGATCCCCAATATCAATGTTCCCTGAAATCCTTATCCTAACCCTAACCCTATAACCCTATATAATCCTAAGGATTTCGTGGAACATCGGTATTTGGGAAATTGGTATTGGGGAACATCGGGTAGACCCCATTATTACCAGCAGCTTCAACTGATCAGAAGAGCTGCAGCAGTTCCTCAAAAGTCACAAGGGAAGCAGAGTAGCAGAATGGCAGCGCAGCAGCAGTATATCAGTAACAACAGGAGCGGCTATACTGTCTGGCAGTGAGTCCTATATATGATTACAGTACGACAGCAGTACGACAGAACGGTAGTAGGACGACAGTACCAAAGCCAGTGTTTACATATACAGTAAACGGGGTTTGCAAACAAACTTACTCTTTTGGCGTTTCCAGAAGACAATCGCCGCTACAAGAACAAGCAGAAGTGCAGCCGCGATACCGACGGCAACGAAGATCAAAGACATCTGACTCTGCATCGAGGGGTCTGCATATGAAATGTAAAAATGTGGTTACAAAGTCTTGATTGATTTAAAATCAATCTGTCGCTGTGCATTAACTACAAAGGACAATTGAACAATCGAGGAAATCAAGGTCCAGGATATCATAATCACTATCGCCACTTTTCCGTGTCGTTTATTATACCAAACGTATTGGAAATGTTCTCTTAGATTAGTTTTCATTCGTCGCACAAGCTGTGCTTTAAAGGCTACAACAAATCTGCTGGAACACAAAATGGTCATTACTGTCCTGATACTTTCCTGATACACAATATCAACTTGATATTGGTTAATTTGACTAGTGTGTTTGTTTTAATAATTGGGATTCAAAGAGGCAAAATGTCATGAGTAAATTCAAACGCAGTCATCTTAAGCTTGCGTAATTCTCTTGAACCCCGCGACGTGATTTGTTTGGACACCCTTTTTGGGGACTAACCAAGAGCAGCCTACGGTTGCTAAAATTTTAATGTTAACAAAGCAAACATGACCATAAACATCTTCGCTTGTTCATTAAACGAAATTCAATCATTGACTCTTAATCCTAATGAGGTCCGCTCATAAGTCCGACGCCTCATAGGTCCGACGCCTTATAAGTCTAACACAATCGCATCCCCTAACCAAATAAAGGCAAATAAGTCCGACGCCTCAGAAGTCCGACGCCTCATAGCTCCGACGCCTCATAGCTCTGACACCTCGTAGGTCCGACAAATTAAACGCCTCGTTTTTCCGACGTCGGACTTAATATGAGGGGTCGAACTTATGAGGCATCGGACCTATGAGGCGGAATAAATAAATGTTATGCCTCAAAAGTACGACGCCTCATATTTGGGACTTATGAGGCGTCGGACCTATGAGGCGTCGGACTTATAATACGGCCACAATCCCAATGTTATTGGTGTTTGCAGTTTGACTATTTACACCAATTTCAGTATTTTCAGAAGCACAGAACTTTACTTTTCCTGTTATAGATAGATCGAAGCATCATTGAAGATAAGAGCTAAACAAAACACAAAAACTACACTACTCTAACATTTTTGAGACAAAATCTGCCTTTACTACACATCGCAAGTTAAGCTGAAACCTTCCTAAAAGGATAGTTTGATTGGTCAACCAGAGTTCTAACCTTTTGTGAAATATACCCCGTTTATTGCGATTATATCCCAAGTTGATAAAATTGGCAGACCTTAATGAGTGTAAAGCGCGAGTCGCAAATCAAGTTGAAAATAAACTCACTCGGTGTGTTAATTGATGATCCGGAATCTCCGATGTCGTTTTGGGATGGCCCTGTAGTTTCAAACTCCCCCCTTCCATCTTTAATACGTCACGTTAAAATGTCAAAGAGAATCAAATCTAAATTACTGAGAAAACTAATTCTGATAACTAATTTCAATGTCGTAGGTGACAATACAGTCACAATTTCAATTCAAACTAAAACCTAGTTTTTTTTGTTTTAATCCAACCTTTCTTAGTAGCTTTTGCAATCCTAAAAAAAATGTGTAAAGCTTTTTTTCAGTGTTGCGGAGCTAGTAACTAAACGTCAGTGGGAACTTCGTTAAAAATACAGAAAATCAGGTTTACAACACCGAGATGAAAAAGGGCATAATACGTACGCCAGCTAAGCCTACATGTATAACGGAGCATATGCACGAAGCCAATTATAGTTGCTTTTTTGCGCCTATTAACACACGTAAGCCAAGTATTTCACAAGGTCGTTTTACACAGCAATGCCTCTGCCCAAACCATTATTGTTAGTATATTTTAACATAACAACAAAGTACCAGACAACTACGATTTCACAGGATGCTTGACGCTTTATTAAAAGCTATTCGATAACAATTAGGCACTTGCGTTTTCGAATGTTTGCAAAACACATCAATATACATTTACTTCAGAATAAAATCACGTTTTTGCTCCCTCCTAATGTATAGTATTTTATGGTATCCAACAAACCAGGGAAAAAGAAGAAATGACACAAAGACTAAAACTGTACCTGTTTCTTGATGTTGGCCGAGCAACCGAATATTCGTAACCACCTTCTCTCCTGCCCCAGTTGCCGTGCATGTTAGATTCCTCCGCTGACCAGGCTGAAACGACGGCACGGTGAACGTGCTGCTTGTGTTGTGCAATCTCGTACCAACTACCCTCGTCTCTCCGCTTGTGTTCTTTCCAGCGAATGTCCAGGTGATTTCTGCCGGGGGTTTGGTGTCTGTGGCCAGGCAGGTGAAGCTCTGGTCGATGCCCGGTCCAACGTTCACGTATCCGCTGCAAATTTCGCCGGTAGTGGCGTTGATGATGTACACATCTCTAGGCGGCACTGCAGAGAAGCATTACATTATTTTGGCATCAGGACAAGACAATCATTCTTATGAAAAAACTTTAGTAGAAATACCACATTCTGCAACATCCCCCAAATCAATAGTTTGCGCTTCATGAAAGTTCATTTTATTGTAGGGTGAACTTTAAACACTTTATTGGATAAAACAGCACTGCGTGCGCGCGCAAATAACACCTTCGAGCGCACATGGTGCCATGCCACTTAATATCAAATAGTGTGGTTGCTGGACCCGCCTGCATAGATACTCAGCACAAAAATATCAATAGCAAAACATACCTTGGGAAATAAAGACCTACCGACGTTAATATGTGCGCTTTCTATGAAAGCCGGGGGTGTGACGCAGCCCACCTGGCTCTCATCGGAAAGCGCACATGTAAACAACGCGTGACGTCATTCGGTCTCAGGTCTATTGAAAGAGGTGCATTTACTTTCAACTTACCATTAACTGTCAATGATGTATTTTTCCACACCGTCGTAGCCGAATACTGAACTTCGCATCTGTAGCGCCCCTCATCAGTTAACTCGAGGCTGTTTATCGTCAAATTGCAACCATGGTTGTCATGGTGATAGTTATACCTCCCTGCATTGGTGCTGTCCTTAATTGTGCACGCATCGAGCAATGGTTTGTTACCAAGCAACCACTTGAAGGTAATATTTGGGAAGCCAGATGGAACATTTTCGACGTAACATTCCAAGGCGATACCCCCTCCTAAAATCCCGCTCAACACGGAAGTCGTCTCAGTAATGTCTGTTCCTACACATAGGAATATAAAGTTTTATACTAATGAGGAGTATGTTTTTTTGCAAGATTGAAAGATAAAAGAGGCTCAGCCATCAAAACACCTTGGGGTGGATTTCGGAAAGTATCCACTTTGTTTAAATCTAAACTTTTTGGGACACCAACCGTCCAGTCTGAAGCTAAAATTCGAAAGGGTGGGGCTGGTTTGTTAAGCTGGACCTCATTAGACGCTAGGTGCGCTCTTTCCCCCTTTTCCAATCTCTCTTAATATTCCACAATTTGGTGGTAAGAACTATCAGAAGCACCTGTTTAACAACATTTGTCTTCACTCCTCTTTGGGTTTAATTGAAAAGAATGTTGTTGAAAGGGGGTAGCCCAACGGTTGCCCCCTTTCCCCGAAACTCCATAAGATGGGATCTTAAGTCAAACATTCCAATTAATATCATATGCTAGTTATAATGATACTTCTCTACCTTCAGCACTTTTCAATTTCTTAAGCACTTTCCACATCATTTTACATAAATGGAATACTCTACAAACAAAATGGTTAAGAATAACCAAATGTGTTTTGGTCACGTTACTTTTGGTAAGTGTAACCAGTAACTTGGTTCGACCTTAACCCATCGATTGGTCAACTGGTTACCATTTTCATGGGTTGCAACATATTGGTTTTATTACCATGACCAATCGTTTGGTCAAAATCTTATTAAATTGATAAACAAACGAGTGGTAAAATATATTTGGTAAATTTAACCATGCTGTTGGTTAAATGTGACCAAGGCATATATCAACGATATAACCAAAGTGTGCTGGTTAAATCGTTTTTTTTTGTTAAGTTTACCAAAGCAGTGTTGTAAGAGTCACTGATTGTTGTGACTCGTGTCGAGTCGAGTCATTATGTCAAAAAGGTCGAGTCGAGTCATAGTGTGTAGTCGAGTCGAGGCAAATATTTAGCTCGAGTTAATTCGAGTCACGAATATTTGAAAACTATTTTACAAAGTAGTTAACATTTACCTGGGAAATATGTAATTCCATCAACCAATAAGATTTGGTTTGAGTTGACCCACCACTAACGGTTAGATGTGACCATTTTATATTGGTATAGGGTTTGATCAAGAAGAAAATGTGTTGTCTTAACCACCGCGAATTGATACAAATTTGCATCAATAAAGGTTAACCAATGGTCGCTTGGACACATATTGCCCACTAAAATTCGTTCAAAACCTTCTGATATTGGTTATCGCAACCAATTTTGTTGTAGAGTGTACAGGTCGTAAGAAATATTAAAATCCTTGAACGTTTGTAAACAATACATTTAATAGCTCATACTATTTCCTTATCCCTGGAAAATATCTAAAATATACTTACCATTAAACACGATGAGTTCTATTTTATAATTGTTGGTTCCTGCTCCTTTTAACAATTGACAGTGGAACTTTGTGCCATTCAAGGACCCAGAAACATGCGGGATCGTCAAAGCCCCGCTTGTCTCGTTAAGTACAGCCGTATAATAGGAAAAGGTCTGTGTACATTTGACGATGGTTGATTCATTCGCAAGCCATTCGAATTCGACATCTGCATCACTGCATGGTGGAGTCGCAGCTAACTCAAATGCTTTGCATTTCAGCTGTACATCTTCTCCCTCCACCGCTGTCAAAATCGTCCCTTTGAAAACATGACAAAAAAAATCGAAAAATCTGAAAACAAACGTCATCATTTCGTCACCGACACCACGAACTGACACCCGGTGGTCAGCGTTGCAGAAATCCAAATCGGAGAAAAACGCTTTAAAGATTTGACACGAAATTACTCAGTAAAATATTCAAATCTATCTTAAAGGTTTTAGTATCACTTAACGTGAAAATGCTTAAACTACTCAATTATAAACGTTATACTGTGAACATCTGCTTAGTTAATTAGCAATTAAATGATTAAGATGGGTGTCAGTTCGTGAAAACGATCATTTATGTGTTTTTGGAGAGTTCGCACATGCAATAGCGTTAGTGAGTGTCAGTTCGTGAAAACCAAAATTGACGCGTTTTAGGAGAGTGTGCGCACACACTGCGCATGCGTGCGCGCACCCCCCAAAAGCACGTCAATTTTGGTTTTTACGAACTGACACCCTGTGCAGGGTCACTTCGTGGTAACCAAAAATACCAGAATTGACCAATTTCTTGAAAATTCATTAGTAAAATTTGCTTATTTAGATGATTTCAGCAATTTTAACTTCGTCATGTTAAACTTCATGATACAAACTGCTAATATGTGCAAAAAAAGCAAATTTGAATTTTTAAATTTTTGTGTAGGGCCTACACATGTGATGCAGAGGGTGTCAGTTCGTGGTGTCGGTGACGATTTGTGAACGCTTATCGAGATGTAAAAAAAAATGAGGATCCTTCTGTGAACGTCATGGCCTTTTTTGTTTGGATAACTAACACTGAATTGATCCTGAAGGAGTAACAATCAGAATAAAAACAAATTCAATTTGTGTGGGCATAATTTGACTTACCACAAGAAAGGTGACATGCGGTACCAAACACGCAGATGTAAATCATCGCGTACAACGGATTCATTTCTGAAGAGAGACGGTTATGTTCGTTAGTCCCAAATCAACGGAGCAACCTCAACATGCCACATGCAGCCAAGTAAAAAAAGTGAATCCAAAGTATTAATGGAGGTCACCAAAGAGCTACTTTAATTTCAAGCTAGTCACGGACGAAACTAACGTCGATGGCTTCTAAAACATAAACAAAAATTGTATGTCGCTGTAGTTATCACGTATTATTTTGACCATGACATGCAGAGTCACGTTAATATGGGCAGAAATGAAGTGCTCAGAACACGTATTACCTATCCAGTGCTACATAAGTTATGGAAACCAAAACTTTGACCAATATGCCATAATTGAAAGTGTAACAGGATGTTTATTTCCGGAAAGCAATTTATGGAACTCTTTTTAGTTCCAAATGCCATGCAGAGTGCATTGTCAGGGCAAAGAGATACAATGTACATGTTGCTGTCACAGAGCTCTTTCCTAAAAAAAATATCAATGCTGTTATACCAGTTATTTCAAGTCGCAAACGTGATCCGTATAATAATATTATTTTATGTACAATGGTAGAACTCCAATACACAGTATAAAAGGCACCACCGAGTGTTTGACTAGTTAAAAATGTTAATGCCGCTTTTAATATTATGACGTTAATCAGTCGCCAATACATGTACTTGTTTTTGTATAGAATAGGCCTGCCAGTCAAGTCTCATGTATTCCTAAGATCTGTAAATAAATAAACAAAAGAACCAAATCTACTTTCCGCTCTTCTTGGTAGTGACATTGCCTGTATCTCCAATTAAAAATTCCCGACAAACGACTCATTTAGCTTGATCACATCACAAATAAAGAAAGTATGGGTTTATGGTGCACTTTGGATAAAACATGATAGGCGCATGCAACGGCTAGTCTTCTATGTTGCAAGTTCTTCAAATTATTCTTGTCATTCAACAGCGCCCTCCGTCTTAATCGTAGCAAAGATAGACATGTAGTTTGATCGTGTGTTGGCCACTGTGTTAAATTATTTAACTCAACCGCGGTTTTTAGTTGAAGTAAAAGCGACGCCCGACGAGAATTATTCGGCAATTTATGTGTATTCCTGCCTGCAACCGATACTATATATGGGCAAAAACTACTATTGTGGCCACAATATATGAGGGCGCTGTTGATGGCGTTTGTTTGAATACAAATGTGTCAAAAGGAGTTGACCACGTTATAAGTCGTTACAAACCAAAACTGTTATTTTCTTTCCAATTATTTAGATAATCGCCTTTGAAGTTAATAATTTTTTTTCAAAACACCTTTTCGACTAGTTTTTAGTTATGGATTTAGGAAATTCTTGCATTGTCAAGTAACGTATGCTTTGTTGTTTGTTAATTCAAAGTTGTTTATTAGAAGTCTCTCTTAATTAAACTGTAATGCATTAATACAGATCAGTTAAGGTTTCTGTCACTTCGTGAAAACAGCAAAACACAGAGGCCTCACTTTTTTTGTCCCATGAAGTTGTACAAACTCTTTGTCACTTCGTGAAAACATAAAACGTTCCTCCAATAAATTGTTACATTTGCGCGTCTGACCGTTCCAACCGTAGCCAAGTAATTGGCACGCGGCATAAAACATCAGAAATAGAGGTTTGGGTTGCTCCTCATAAGAGACGGAAAGGAAAGGTTTGAAATGCTTAGTCCAACAAATTAAGCATTAACATTTGTAATTGAAACTTTGATGTGTGCAAATGCCGGTGCCTCTGACCATGAACAAAACTACATTCGTAAAAAAAACAAAACCTGACTTTTTAGTGGGGGGGGGGGGGGGGGGGGGAGGTATAGTCCCCGTAGAAACTAGGGGGTACAGTATGACAGTATGTTGATTTAATTTTAGACCATGAACAAAAGAGGACAATAGGGTCCACAATGATTATGGCGATGGTCCACCAGGCAGGGATCCGGTGGGGGGGCGGGGGGTGTTATTAATCGTCAAATTTGAACAGCGCCCCCATTGAGAGTATGGTACAAGCCAACCCCCCCCCCCCATTAGTGTTCGTAGGCCAAGTGGATGACCGGAGAAAAATTACTATCTACATTAAAAAAACAACTGACACCTGAGAGTATGTTCATTCATTCCAAAGAACACAAGGAGACGACGATACAATGAAGATCGATGTGAGGGCGCCCTTCATCGTTCCATCAGTGTTTTTATTCCGTCGATTTTATTTTATGTTTATATCCATGTGATCCTTCGTTTTTGTCGTCCATCCTGCTGTCATTATAAAACCAACAAGGGGAGACTGTATGTTGCTTCAATATCTGTGAGTTCCGGAGTTGTTTTTGACTCATTTACTTGGAGTTTTGACTCATTTACTCGGAGTTTTACACATGATTTTTTTTAACTTTGAACTGTTTGAGCATTGCACTCGAATGCCATACCCCGCGTATTTCTGACATGGCGTCTCTGATTTCGTATACATTACATGTATATGCTTTGTCTCCCGTGTTCTGTTGTGCCACAATGTCTCCCCGTATTTGCCACCTACCAAAAACTAGCCACGTCATTTTTGGAGTATGAAATGTCTGCTTGGTTACATTAGTCCAAGCATATTGATGCATAACATCGAGCTAAAAAACGGGGGACTCGTTTTCTCGGGCAACAAAATATGGGGACATGTCGTACACTAATAGGGTAATTTAATCGTGGCAAACTTCTTCTCTCTTCGTTGGTAATCAGGGGATCATTTAATCTCGTTAATTATGCTGTTGTCAAACATTTTGTTGTTAATGGGAGATATGCTGATCTTATAAATGTAAACATCTGTATGCCAGAACACGGGCCTTGCATTCATTCATTCATTACGGTTTATTACACATAAAGATTAAACAGCAAGTAAAAGCTAACAACGTCTGATTTACAAATTAAAAATAAATTAATACAAAATTCAAAAGAAAAAGCCGGATTCGATCAAAGTGATACATTTTTTTTTACAAAATTGCATTACAAAATACAAATACACATTAAGAATTTTTATTCAACATTGTGACCATGAATGTAATTGGTGTCAGTTTATACCTCTGGGTCCTTGAACGGGGGAGATCTAAGGTTACGACCAGACACGGTTTGACGAGTTGATGGCAGGAAATAACGGTGTCTTTCGGATTCCAATAAACAGTTACAAAGCGAACAATTCATTACCGTTTCTGCAAATCATCAATTTCCCCGGCTTGGGTCTGAATTACCGGCTAATGTTCCTACATTCCCTTATTCTGATGTGGTTGTTGAAATGTACTGCTTTCTTTCCTGATCATGACTAGATTGGTCTCATCTTCCGCTACACATTTGTTTGATAATGGTAGTTGGGTTAGTTTTGTCCAACTGTGTTGTTTGATTGGTCCAGGGCCCAATTTCACGGCGCTGCTCAGCACAACAATTTGCATAGCACAAAAAAGTCTTGCTTATGTAAGAGCAGAAAACCAGCCAAAACTCCATATGATTTTCATGCTAAGCAGACAACAGTTCAATACTTATCACAGTCAATATACATCACATGGAGTTTAGGCTGAACATACTTTTCTAAGCCAAACTTTTTTGTGCTAAGCAAATTTTTGTGCTGAGCAGCGCTGTGAAATTGGCCCCTGGTCTGCTGGATATTGATGTCTGTCTTACTCTACTGGTCATGGTGAGTCCTCTCAATGATGATGTGATTGTGAGTGTGGATTTTGTGTTTGATGGTTGGTCTCGTCATTGCAGTACCTCCACGTCTGGTCCGTTTGTTCGTTTATGTCCTGTTTATTGTTTGATTTGTATGCGATTTAATTGTTGTCTTGCGTGTGGAAGTTTGTGTTTGTTGAAACGGGAGTACAATCATTACATTCACTGTGTGGACTTCCGAACAAAAGAGGTCCACATAAACCAGGTAGCAGCGACGTTGTGCGGACTTGCCCACGTCAACACAATGTTTCTCCCTCTCTGTAAAATAGGTTCAAAGGCATTTTGGGGTTAGGTTTATCCGTCGCAAAATGAAGAGAAACACTAAAGGGAATCATAGAAAAATATTGGGTTAAAAGAGTTTTCACAGTGTGAGAAAAATCATTTTTTTCACAGGTTCTTCTTAACTACACGAACACAAAGGAATGTCCACACTAGGTATGTAGCGCACATGTCTGGTGTGTACACATCGACTGTGTACGTTCCTCTTATCGTGGTACTCCCATCGATGCTCTACTCCGGTTTCGGTCTCATCTTGCTGATCAGTTCCAACAATCCCTCAACTTTAAGTTCTTTCTGGTTATATAAAAGGGAAAAAAAGAATCAAAATTCATATTGTATATGTATATTTTTGATATATCCCCTCGCCCTGCTTAGAAAGACACCTCTTTTTGCATGATGCTGATCTTCCATCAAATTGATTTTCGCGCGATTTGGCGAATTTTATTTCAATTTCCAAATGCCGAAAACGTCAGACTGGACCGTGTTTTGACCCCCCAACCCTCCCCCCCAAAAAACAAATATATATATAGCATTGTCCGGACCATTGTTTCAGTACAATTCTCCATGTTGCATATCTAGGATACGAAAGCCCAATTCATAAGCTTTCTTTAGTGCAAGAATTATTCAATACACGTATGTACTTTTTAAGTTACGAAATTTTAAACACACGCGCCATTTTAAGGTTCTGTCCACGGAACACAAAAAAAAAGTCGGTGTTCTTTCAGCAAAACGAAAACAAATCACAAAGGGATATGCGAGTTGTTTTTCCCCCACGAATAACCGTAACTCCAAAACGACTCAAAGATATTTAATTTATTATTTTGTTCTGCATTGTGTTGACATTTTGTTCACAAGTCCACACAACGACTGTACTATATGAATACACATTACGTATTTGAACACCTTCCACCATGGACTTCTCGTCCTTCCATTGTTGTAGGGAAGAACATCCGTATGATTTTTTGAACCTTCGTCCAATTTTGGACCCTAGTCATGTATCGGAGGTGGATACAGCACACAATTTGCCTGCAATGGGACCCCCTACTGCCCCTCTTTTGTTTGAACCCTAACTCAATTTAGGAAATCCTCCCAATATGTTTTGTTTTCACGATCGCCAAATTGTGGACCTTTGGGAATTGTGGTTCATAATGTCCTCTTTTGTTCAAACTCATGAACCTGTATACACACACATGATGATGGAAACGAGAAATTTCGTTCCGATGCGCATGCAATTTCTGTCCCAGGACTTTGGTGTCACTCACCTGTGTCAACTGATTCTTGAGTTTCTGTATTTCTTTGTCTTTCTCCCTCAGCACCGTCAATGAGCTGATGTTAACGCTCCGGTTCGCGGTGAATGCTCTCTGCGGGGCTATCTGGTTGTTGGTCGTGAAGAGGCACTGGTCCTGAAGCACCTCACCGTGTCTTTCCTGCCAGAGTGCAATAATCTGTAGTATATGCATGACTACAGGTTAAAATCACATGCAGTGGATACAGTAGAACGCCGCTACAAAAAAAAATCGCTGGAGATTAAAATGGAGTTTGCCCGTTTAAATAGCGCCCTATTGTGCTTTACTTGAAGTGCGCCCTCTTTTAAATGGTTTTGTCAAGTGTTTATTCATTTGCCCCTTTTTTTCCGTTTCGATGTACAAAACTGTTTCTTAAACTGTTCTTTTAAATTTTATTTTAAGAAAAAAAAAATTAAGAAATTGCTATACAGTTTATTTAAAAAGTGGTTTATTTATAAGGCTTTATTTTTAAAGGGAATATACATCATTTGCATTTGCTGTAATTTTCAGAAATGGATGGAATTGGGGGGGTTGGAGATATACAGCGAATATAGTTACACTGACTTTTTTGAGGTTTTGGGTTCGAAAATGCTATATAAACCAAGAAAACAATCGTTTCCCTGTAGTCTGGTTCCCTGACTCTATGTAAGAAGAAACAGAGCGGTTTACATACATTGGGGAATTGTAAGGTCAGGGAACCAGTCTAGCTGGCTTGTACCCGTTCATAGGTGTGTAATCGATTGCAAACAAGTGCGATGGTCAATTGGGGCCAGTATTTGAAAAAAGCCAGTTTTTTCCAACGCTGGTCGGCCAATCAGCGTTGGAAATTGATACAAAAATACCACTTTTCTTGAAAATGACAGTATACCAGGTGCCATGATTTTACAGGATGCTTTACACTGTCATTCACTAACAGTCCAGCAAGGTATTTCAAAATGATTTGGTAGTTTTATTTTTTGATCTTTGCAAATGTTGTATTTTCCCTTTAAGTATTTAGTAAAATTATACAACTTTGAATGGAGAACTGAATAAAATTGACACAATAACCTAAAACAAACGGAGAAGAAGAGAGGAGTCGGGAAAAGGGAGAGAAATGGCTGGGATAAAGGTATGTTTTGTTTTTCACTTTCAACCTTTAGTTTTCAAAATCTAAGCTCTGGGAAAAAAGACCCTACGGTGGATTGGATTTCAGGTTGGCACAGCGTTGCGTTCCTCGACCTTCACCTCCATGACCCGGCTTCGAATCCCACCTGGTCGTTGAGTACATTGAGTTGTCAGTCCCTTCCTGAATTCCGTGGACTCTCCTCTGAATATATTTCCCTTTTTTCCTACCACCTCTTGACTTAAAAATGACTTTGTGATCAGTCTTTTTGGGTCGGGTTTGTAAGAACACTTTCAGGCTAAAAAGTGCTTTTTAAAACCCTTAAAAAAAGGGGGGGGGGGAGGAGTCAGTTGACGCAGTAGTTACTGTCCTCAATTTCCACCGCTGTGGCCTGGGTTCGATTCCTGCCCTGGTCCACATGTGGATTGTAGTCCCACGATTTTACCTCGGTGATGTATGTGGCCTATTTACGAGTAGTATAATAGGGGTGTAAGTGGCGCCATCAACGTCAAAATAGTCCGCCCCCCGAAAACAAATCCAACTTTTTTTGCGGCCAAAAATTTTGGGCAACAATTTTGAAAACAAATGTGAGTCCACCCCAAAACCGAATACTGGGTGCGCCACTATTGTTGTCATGCACATGTTTATGTGTTGCAACAATACATACAAGATCTTTATACTTGTTTGCATTGGAAGTGACAAGAAAGTGGTACTTTTTCAATACTTAGCAAATACTTTCAGTAATACATGTAAGAGGGCGCTATTTTGCTTTTGTCACACAAGGTACTCCTTGTCAAAAGTGCATATGAACAGTACAAAAATTAGTCCTTCAAAATTACCACAAAACACTTGTTAATAATAATTGGCTGCTAATGTCAAAACAAGCTGTTTAACATGATAAACAAGTAAAAAGTGGAACCTGCTCCAAGAATATAGAGAAAAGTTTGACATATATTAGTACACAAACCTATATACTATCCTTCCTTGAATGACATCATACTTTGGCTCATGAATATGGTAATTGTTTTAGCATACAAAATAAAATGTTGGAATTTTTCCCTGTTACTGCTACAAAGTCAGAGTAACATGGCAACAAGGCTGTTGTAAATGTATTCAAGTCATACAAATCCTATTCCTGAAATTCGTTTGACTTGCCTTTGGAATGAAGATCAAGCAGTTGGTGACAGTTGTCCCGAAGATGATGCAAGACGCCGTGAGGATGTAGGAGGTCCCGGGCATGTCACTGGTGATGAAGGTGACCAGAGGGGCGACGATTATGCTTGGAACAGCCACGTTGTAGATGGCCATCGCGATGTACTTGGAGTCATTCAGTTGTGGCATGGTCACTTTCCTGCGACAAATTAGTTTTTAGCTGGTTTAAATACTGGAACCAGACGTATTATTATCAAATACCGAAAAATCCACAGAAAACCTAAAACAAATCGATAGCAACAATCATTTGAAACATTTTGAAACCAGTTACGTAACAGTTGAAGTAGCTAGAACATCAAGAGCAGCTACCAGCAGCGTTATCAGCAGCAACATTATCAGCAAATACAACTTTCAGCTGCAGCAGTAGCAATAACATCAACAAAAAAATATAGATCCAACAGCCTAAAGACCCACTTTCTTTTGCCCAGTCTTTTTGAAGAAAAGAATATTAATTTCTTTATGTTCCCCTATTTGTATTTCTTTTGGTGATAAAATAAACCATATAGAGCCTGGAGTATACACAAAATCCAAACATTATTTGCATTGCAATTGTCATCTTCATTTTTTATGAGATTCAGTCATTTTATAAAAGTAGACTCAACAATAAAATCCACTGATGTACCTGTACATAACTTGAAAACGGTCCCTTTTAAGTTGTTTTGCAATCAGACGTTTTAACTTATCAGCAATATTCTTTCTTTTCATTCTTATGATGTGAATTGACAACCCTCCATTCAATCTTAGAATCGAAAGATGTGACTTGACAATCCTCCGCCATTCAATGTAAGAATGGAGGGATGCGAATTGACAACCCTCTATTCAATGTAAGAATGGAACGATGCGAATTGACAACCCTCCATTCAATCTAAGAATGGAACGATGTGAATTGACAACCCTCCATTCAATCTAAAGGCCCTGCCACACTGTCCGCAATCTTATATGCGCTCTCACTGCGTCCTTGAAAAAAAAGCTGGGGCGCAAAAACAATTGCGAAACATTGAATTTATCCCGTAAAAATACTTCGTCAAATCTGATTTACATGACTATGCAGATGAGTCATTTGACGTTTGGAGTATTAGACTGTCAAGGAAACTAGTCTTTCACTGATTTTAATATGTCCTTCAATTGATATGATTCGTATTGCATGGACTCAGATTTGTCATGCCCCTAAAATAATTCGTCATCTGACTAATCGCTTACATTACTTATTCTTTTCCCGATTTTTGACGACTTTTTCACAGCGATTGACTAAACAGCAATTGACTAAGTTTTCGGTGATGTTTCCATATTGTTTTCTTTTCTAATTTGTGGCTTTGGAGAATTTTTATTTTAAATGGGAAATAACTATGACTTATATCAGGTTTAAATTTCTTTTTCTTTCTCACATTGTTAGGAAAGTAAAGTTAAAAAACCTCATAGAGCACACCCCATTCGCTTATGTCGTTCGGGGAAAAAAAATCGCCGGGGGAGGGAGGGGGGGGGAATTATTTTTTCCCAAACGACATCCTACAATATCAAAAGAGGACGCTCTCTTATTGCGTTATGCTTATTCATGATGTCCAGGGCTTTAGAGAATAAATTTATAACAATGAATAATGGTCTTTAAAATAATCACTGGTTGTAATGTAATAATGGACTGGTTGGTAGTAGTCCTCACTTCAAGTTAGGTGATCCGAGTAAGAACCCCATTGAGCGTTTTCCACGTCTTGTCATTTTACCTTTAAATAACTAAAGTGAGGAAGGAACATTGCTCACGAGACGGACAACCTATCTTTGGATTGTGTTTTGCAGAATAGGGCATTAGCCATGCATGTAATGGACTAATAAGAAGATTGGCAACGGATGTCGTTTGCGAAAGAAAAATTCGCCCTTGAACAGTTCGCCATAGGAATGCACGCGAAACACAGGCATTGTACGTGATGTGCACTGATTTCCAAAGCGAAACGACTCAAATAACCTGCTGGCCCTTACCTTGGAACCACATCAACTTTGTCCGTGGGACATCCAGGTAACTTTCAGTATGATCAGTTGCCTCGTGAAAATGACATTACATGCTTCCATACAAAGGTCGACTTTCCAAACGTTGAAATTCGTCCAGCATTGTCCAGCTGATATATTTTAGCTACGCATGGGCGTCGCCAGGATTTTTTTTTTTTTTGGGGGGGCAAAGCAAATTTTGCCTCAAAATTCCTTAACTTTTTCATTATATTCACAATTTATCATTTTTTCGAGCGTGAGCATTTGCCCTACCCCCCCCCCCCCCACCCATTAAATTAACAACAATGTGGCTTCGCATCTCTTCCTCTTTTTTTCCCCCTCTTTCCTATTTTTTTCCCGGTTTTTTTTTTGGGGGGGGGGGTCAAAGCGCCCCATCCCCCCCCCCTCGCAACGCCCATGTAGCTTCGTGATCATTTTATTTAACAAGGCAATTTTTAAATCCATGAAGCAGCAGGATAATTTACATATGGAAAATAATTTGCATTCGACCCCTCCGTACCTGAAAACATTGAAAAACATAGGGGGTGAGCGTCTGCAGCCAGGTGGTTCCCAAACAAACGGTTTTGAGCATTGTCCCTAATGTTTCCTAATGAAAACTACAAGGGAATAGTCTAGAATCTTCTTTTTACAATTTATAGTTGTTTGGTTTTAACTGTCGCACTTATTGCTTGCAAACGGCGAGTTACAATGTCAACACAGCTGCAAGTACAACGATATTCTGTCAATAATGGTGGGGTTGTATGTTATGTAGCGTGTAGGGGAAGGATGGAGACTATAAACCTAACAAAAAAATCTTTACAAACTCACAGACATTAATTAAGGAAATATAAGTTGAACAAATTTGATGGAACCTCCCTTCTGATTTTTATTTTATTCGTTACTAAACACACATTGGAATCTTAAAAAGTATGAACATTTTCTTTAATTAACCCTAAAGAATATTAATAATTAATTAGCCATAATTCCAAAACCCTTTGACTTAGAGTCATGAAATTTCTTGGGTATGTTTAGGAAGAGTTGCCCTGTGCATGTACTGAGTTTCAAAACTTTTCATTACTCGATGACCGAGATATTGGGGGGGGGGGGAATCCCCCCCCCCCCCCCCCCCCCCGGCTGAGAGATGGTACAAATAACCCGGCCCCTTTAGGGTTAAGCAAACTCGTTTTTTTATCATACAAACAAGTGTTTCAGTAAATTAAATTAAATGAAATCCCAAAATAGAGGAGTGAAGCTCCTGGCTTCTTACAATTATACGCCGGCAAAATTAAAGCAACACCAAATTTCAGTTCTTGTTTAAACACTTAACATTTACAATTTGAAGGTGTGCGTAACTGAGACAGAAAAATACAGATATTTCAAAAAGATTCAATTATTTGATTCTTCTTACTAAACAAACACCCAGCTGCTGGCAAGAACCAATCATGGTGGGAATACACCTGAACTCAGAAAAAAAGATCTGAGCACCCAAGATTCCCATGCCACGCCCAAATTGATTTGCATAAACCAAAGAATTTGCCTTATGAGGAATGCATAAACAAACATACAAATTCCACGCTTGTCAAAAAGCAATGTTCCAGGAGAATTGCTCAGACACGTCAGAAAATCTCATAAAATTAACAGCCAGGTAGGCTATCCATATTCAATGATACACATGCACTCACTTAAAATTGTAGGGGAAAAAAAAGACTGGTTCCATCTTGCCAGCAAACCTGAAAATATCAGCCATCCATTTTCAATCCCCCCTAAAGCCCATGTCAAGGAGTTGCAAAACACCTTTAGCGACTTCAAAACTTTTGTCCCAAACTTAATTAAAATTCAAGAAAATAAAACCGGGCAAATATGGCCGCCATGTCACGCTGACACTCCCAGGCCCTATCACAGCCCAAGGAATATCCGTCAGAAATAAAATTAAAATTCTCAAAAAATATACCTTAAATATGGCTACAAAAACACTCTTGGAACTCCTTAGCACATGTAAATAAAGAGGATAATTTGAGACGAGGCAACACACCAAAAGTAAACAGCAACATTTGTAAGACCCAACAGAAAAGACAACATGATTGAGTCGAGGTGGTTCACAACAAAAGCTACATGATGTACAACACACGACGCCAAGCGAGGCCAGCACCACGTTACTTTATTTTAAACGGCGCCCTCTTGTGATGATAAAACAGAATGTGTTACATTATTAACAGACATCTCTCATTAACAAGACAAAGTCATTATTGCTTATGCTTTACATTCAGCTATAGAGCAAATTATAACAGAATGTGTGTACACGCATTAGTAAAGTCTATATCTACAATGCAGTCGACAGCGTTATATTCTTTTATGACTTTCTTAAATAAATTTCGTATTATATTACACTGATTTCATGGACTGTTTATGGAAAACAAAATCATCTTGAACTAATGTGATTACATCAAAATACAAATAATTTGAATTAAAATTAAAATGTTGGCTACTTGATTGATCTTCAACATTGCTGTGGCCGAGTAGATGATGATGATCATGATGATGAACATTGCAAAAGTTTTCAATTTTAATGTATACTATAACATATGAAAAGCCTTTCAACTGTACTCCCTATGTGTTGTTCGACTGAAACCGAATTTAACCCTATAAACGTGAACAACCACTACGTTTAAATTTTCGTTGAGAAACAAGAGTTTTAACTATACAAGCGGATATTGTCAAATAGGCCAACTAAAATTGCAACCGTTTGAGATATAAGAAACATTTATGTACAGATTACACGCAATATGGTGTAAATGTTAATTCATAATAGGACCGCAAGTTTACGGTAATTTTGTTTCTTTCGATTATTTTCTTCCGTGTCGATTACGGTTTCAATTATTCGAACAGCCGATTTTTTTTCGAACGCTGATTTTCAAGTACATGACGTAAGGATTATTCAACGACAAAAAAGCAAGCGGTCTTAAAATTCTGATCCTCGAAAGCAAACAGGTTTTTTTTTAGCTAAAGCGTGTTCATCACGTCTGTCATCCACTTGTACCTATCAACTGAACAGGCCCTTTTTATTTTTTTTTATTTTTTTATTTCAAGTGTGGAAATCTACGGCTGGAAAGAGTATTTTTTGTTGTCAAAGGTACTGCATACCTTTCCTCACAAGTGTT